TCAGCGCCGTTTGGCCGCGTCCATCTTGAACTTGACCGTTGATAGGTTTCAGGGCATTTGAAATCCGCAAAGATGGACTATGTGTTGCTTTCTTCCTCTTAACCTTCAATTTGATAACACCAGAGGGTTTTACAAGCCGATTGAACCCAGTTTTCGGGGAGGTTTGAGCCATTTCGAAAGATTTTTCACGTTGTTTTTCCAACTAGCATTATTTGTTAGCAGAAGCACTTGAATATTTTAAAAATTCCGCGCCAAGGTGACTTGACGTCACCAGACTAGTACCCAAGCCTACGCCAACAGAGCAAGGGCGGAGTCGGGGAGGGGACATAAACGTTTTCAGTAGCCAAAAAAAAGAGAATCGATTGAATGGAAAAACAATGATTTTTTTGGTAAGTTTATTGGAACGGCAACCAGAAGATCTTTGTGAAAGGGGGAAGTAATGGTAGGGGAGGAATGCAGTGATATAGGGAGAGGAAAAAGAACTGTCTTCGGTACACTGTTTTAGTTGCCCTGAAAAAACAAACTTGTACTTAAGATTTCAAGTGACAGGGAAGATCTAATGAGGGCAAAAAAACAGAACACAATAAAATCCCTAGACCTCCCAAGAAAACCCCCAAAAAATCCCAGGACCAAAATTAACCTCAAGGAATTTCCCAGCCTTCCAGAAAGTATTAAATGACATACAGTAGAAAAATAAAAAATCAGAAATTGAATTGATTATTGTTTAATTGTATATTAACCAGTTTCATGAAACAGATACAATGTTATGTGTTAAATATTAAAATAGCCGCAAAACAAGTTTGGTTGTTATTTATTTGTGGAACCTATGTGGCCAGGACACAATGGCACTACTATTCTTCAGATTGTTTTGAATACCCCTCAAAAATCCTTAGTTAATCAAGCCACCCAAAAAATACTTGCCAAATTTTCCTACCCCCCCCCCGAAAAAAAAAACCTGAAATCCAAAATTTCAAATCCTTAGTTAATCAAGCCACCAAAAAAATACTTGACAAATTTTCCTACCCCCCTCCGCGCCCCCCCTCCCCCCGAAAAAAAAAACCTGAAATCCAAAATTTCAAACCCATCAATTGAAATCTGGAGTGCTCCCCACATAGCCTCCATAACATCCGCTTAAAACCAGAGTGCAGATCTGTACAGCAAGAGAAGTTAAACAACAAAAATACATCACCGTCTCGTTTGATTGAAACCATAACATTTTATTATATTTAATCTTTCATGTATTTATACATATTATACAAAATATGATTCTCAAACTTTATGTTGTTGACTTTTAGGTTTAGTTGCAAGTTCATATAAGAATAATATTTTTCACCATGTTACAATCACTCAATTTCATAAACAAAATATTACGTCTTAACTTAACTGACTCTCATTTTCTGTTATATTACTTGTGAAGGTACCCACGAAAAATAAAGCAACAGAAAGGGAGACTTGTCAGATTCTGACAAAGACTAAATTAAGGAGATATTACTACGACATTTTTTGAACTAGACCGTTTGGGTGTGTAGTTCTTGTTGGATTCCTTTGGCGTGGTTTCGGCACTACATTCTTCCTTTTCAGCAGACATTAACTTGGCTATTCTTCTTTCTTCTATTTTCTACATAGATTCAGCACAAATTCAAAGTTTAATATACAAGCTGATGTAATATTGTCTTTTGAGCTTCATAATTGGTATTAACTAAGATCTTTCCACAGCCTCTGCCACCACATGCTGTCACTTTCATGTAGTACACTATTTGTATGAATAAAAATTATTGCTGGGTGGTCATAACATATATGATGTTGTCTGTTTTTTAGCACCTCTACTTTAACAACTGGCTGTGCAAAGTCATGAACACAAGATCTGGAATAGATTACTGGTGTGCCTTATTGTTTATTCAATTCCTATACAAAGGCAAAGAATTGAATATGTTGTGGTTATTATCAAACGTTAGTAGAATAAATTCAGTTCTATTCAACAAAATATTTTACTTACTGCTCTGTATTTTGACAGGACTATGTCCTTGATTTGTAAGGGGTTTAGTGGACCCTGTACACTGCTTTCACGCCTTACAAAGACCTTCCAAAAATGGAAAAAGCCTCATGTTATTACACAATTACACCTAAGACAGTTTAATACAAATGAAATTTAAATTAAATTATTCAATCTACCACAAGCACTGCCGACACACTAGAGGCTTTGAAAGTAAGCATTTTCCTCTAAATGAGAACTATGTCCATTAAGGATAAAATATACAGGGCACTTTAAAATCCCCTTGACAGTACATTGACCCACACTGAGGGACTTTTTCAGAAGGGGGAGCTTTTCAAGGGTTGCTCAGAGGGCTAAAGAGAGGAATTAGTTAGTAAGTAAGTAAGTACAGCATTTCTTTAAACAACATACAATTATGGCTACGCTGATGTGGTCATGTGTAAAATTAATAATTTTTTTTTTACATGATAAAGAATTAAAATAAATAAAATTGATATGTTTTATACAATATAAAAGCTAAAATTGGATTAAAAACTACCAATAGTACTAAAAACGGACGATGTAAGAGAACATTTTAATTGATTCTTTAAACTGTATTATTTTGGTTTCATGCTTAACTAATACGTCTTTTAGCGGGAAAGACATACGTTTGTGGTCACATGAGTGTGCTAACTAGTACAATATTTATGTAATATAAAATACATGTACAAAGTTATGTAATGTGGCATATGTATTTCGCTCACCTCATGTTTACTGGTTTCGTACAATTCTCCTTTTTCACCAGCTTTTATTGATATTTCTATAACATACGTGTCATCTAGAAAAGTTCGCCTCCCCTCTCTCCTCTCCCGATCTGTCTGTCTATAAGCCACTGGAATAAACTTTACACTGACAAAAACGGGAATAAAAAATATATTTACACTCTAGAAAAAACTAAATATTGATCTAGTGAATGAACAATCCCCTTAGAGGAAACTTCCTCATCTAACATGTAATCTAATTAGAAGATGCTGGTGATGATGAACTTGATGACAAATTTCACTGAGGTGTCACTTAACATTCTTTTAGAACTGCTTAATTTGATTTCTTGGGAGGGGGGATACTTAACTAACTACAAAATTTTGTATTGACTATCATTATGAAATGATTATGATTATAAGTCTACAAGTCTAGATATAACAGTTATCTTCAAAAGAAGATTAGGTTTATGTCATCACTGGAGAATTACCCCTTTGGTGGCCAGAAAATAGCTACAAAACTTTGATACATCCACAAAGTGCCATGCCTCAATCCATAATTTATTATTATAATTTATTATTTATTTATTATTTATTTATTTTACATAACTGAACCAGCTGTAATATTAATTTTGCAACCTGCCATGACAAAGCAAGGTCAAAGTATAACTAGATGTCCTTAGTAACATCAGTTCCAATCAGACAGATACAATGAAATATTTCATAAATTTTTTATTTGATTTGGACTGACTGAGGTAAAGCAACATACCTGTAAAGAGTTGGAGGTACTTTAGGAAGGAATCCCATAAATTCTTTATCCACGATGTCGAGAATTCTCCTCCTCATTTCAAATGAGCACCGAATGCCGCGTATTCTTCCTAGTTAACAAACAAAACCCTTTAAAGACATAAACTAATAGTAAAGTTGAAGTTAAGGGTAGTCTTCAAACTAATAATAAAACTAACATAAATTACTAATACTTTTACCAAGTCGACTTAATTTCAAAATCTTGACTTAGGTTTGTTTATATTCATCTGAAAGGAAACCACTAGGAACACATCCACATTCATCAAAAAATCTACTGGCCTTCTTTGCACTAAGCCCCTTTGACTTATTTTCATAACTAAAAAACTCAATGAGAGGCAGTAATTGCCTCTCATTGAGTTTTTTAGTTATTATTATTATTTAGTTATTATTATCGCAGTGACTATTATTTTGGTCTAATGCAGTTTCTCATGAATTTATTTCCCTGAACATGAGCCACATGAGTCAAATTGATACAGTCTCTGCAGTCTCCCTTATTTTCTCCCAACTATGTACCCCATCCCAACCACACCCTCCTTTGCCACAACTCCTAACCATGTAACCTCCCATCCATGTACACCTGTCCATAGGAGATCAAACTAGGGGCAGTCTATCCAAACACTAACACAGAAACATAAGGTAAGTACTGCACTGTGAACATATGAATAACACTAAGGGAGTACTAGATTTCAACAAAATGAACCGGGAATTATTTTTTATGAGAAATAATATAAGTTACCAAAATATAAATAATTTATAAGTATTAGCTAAAGTCAACTAACCATTGTCAAGGATACCAGCTAACAAGACACCTCCATCTGAATTTAAGAATCCACTCCCATATTTTCGTATGTGCTTTAAGGAAATATTAACAGGTATAAGCAGATTAAAACACACATCTTGCATACTTTTATAAGAGACTTACATCAATCTGAGATGCATGCAGATATAATGTCTTGTTGGCACACTGGCTTCATAGAATCCAACGAACAGCCAAAAACTCAGACTTGGGAATTACTTTATAGTGATGGCAAATGGGAGAAAAAGGAACAGAAACAGCAGGTTCCCATACTACGGTTAGAAAAAGTAATTTATCAGAGAGACTAACTAATAGAGATCCCCTGAGATCCTTGGTTTAGAATTTGAGACATTAAAGCAGAAAGTTGTGGTTTCAGTGCCTGACTGAAAAACAGAGCTCTATAAACAAGACTCTGAGACTCATCACAGAGACTTCCAAGATTCAGAGATAAGATCAAAATATTCTTATGCCTAGTTCAAACGTCGAACTTTACATGTGCCAAGCCTAATACCTATTTAGGTCGACCCAAACTATTAAGTTCCACTATTGATTCAGACGTTCAAACTTTACATGTGCCGAACCTAATTCACAGCAAAAAGAAATATCATCCTTACTGCTTAAAAAAGGGAAATAAACTGAAAAAAAGAAAAATTCACCAAGCCTGGAAATCCTTTTTTGGATTTTAGTGTGATTTGTGTTCTGTCATGGCAAGGAGACAGCTGAGGAGATCGCGATTGTGATATTTGGACAAAATAAAGTAACGCCATAACTTTTAAAACACATTACGATTTCTTTATGGATATAAAGAGAAGCAACCTTTTAGAAGACCATTTTAAGCTGTCCAGTTTCAGTCTAGAAATCAACCACGTGAATGCTGGTAACCGTCGTTAAGTTTCTGTGAGTTCTGTCCACAAAGCGCGAAAACCCACTAACTAGCCAATCAGAAGTGCAGTTACACTGAAAAATATGTTAACATAATTTATACATTAGGTTCGGCACATGTGAACTTCGACGTATGAATCGAAGTCAATCTTTTGCCGTACTTGACAAGCTCAGTCGAATAGAACAGCAGAGTTGACCCAAATACAAAAGTGCTGTTCCTAATTGATTTACAGTACATCGAACTTTACATGTGCCAGACCTAATAATTAGGTTCGGCTCATGTAAAGTTTGACGTTTGAACTGGGCCTTAAACCGAGTCCTAAGTGTCCGCCATCTCTTCACCCCAGCCCCTAGAGGCAGCCAGCCGAGAAAGGTCTATTGTGGAGGTGGTGGGGGGCAAAGACAGTCAGCTGTCATTTTAGACTGCCAGTATCTATAGTTAGACCAATAATTATTTTCTGGATACAATTCATCACTTATTTCTCTTTCAATGACCCTGCAGCCCCTTTAATTAATTACCCCCTTTCGCAGTCAAGAACTGGGGGAAACGTTTTAAGAACTAACTTATATTATAAACAATAATGAAAACTTAAATAACAAACTTAAGAAACATTATTATTGAATGAGGCTGAGTATGACGTGAAGATTTAATTTATGCAACCTTGTGAGATCTGCATAACTCTTCTTTTCATGAAAACACTGCTAATATTATTGTTTTTTTTTTTTCATTATATTATTAATATCTCTAAGTTGTTAACAACCTTGACTCTTTCTCAGCACAGTTTCAGAATATACACAGATGTTTTTCCTCAAAAAGTACATGACAATATTTCTTCCAATATGTCTTTGCTTGCTGTGAACTGTTTCATTCTTTTTTTCCCTTAGTTCATTCACTGCCAGGATATGAGGTTGCAATTGTGTATTGGAGTAATATATATGTAACATCGTATTGATGGTATCACAGTTTTTTTATTGTTGTTTTGTTTTGTTTTGTTTTTATTTTTATTTGCCACACAATAATTACAAAAAATACAGGAAAAGAAGAAAAAAGAAGTGGCGAGGAGTCCTAACAGAAACTATAGGAGCTTATGAGAGGTTAGGCCTCCTTGAATTTTGAGCTAGAGCTGTTTCACATCAATTGAAGAAAAGAAGGCGAAAAGTCAAAGATGGAAAGACATTATGAACTGTTTTCATACTTACTCAATAATTAAATCTTCAGTTTTTTCTTAAAAGAGGAGAGGGATTGAAAATTGATGAACTTGTTGTCAAGTGAATTAAAAAACTTAGGCCCTTGAAAAAAGGGCGAGAACTTCTTCATGTTTGTACGACAATATGGTAGACGGTAGGCCTGGGAATTTCTTGTATTGTAAGAGTGGGATAGATTGCTTTGAGTGAAATTGTTATTAAACTTTGGAGGTAAGGATGAATTTTTGCAAGAATACATAAATTGGCCCAGTTGAAGCAAATGGATATCATTAAATTTTAGTATAGCGAGGTCCTTAAGATGGGTTCAGTATGAGCATTGAAATGTGATTTATTAATAATTCTAATAATGCGCTTTTGCAGGATAACAAGGCGGTGGAGATTGGTTTTATAGGTCGAAGCCCAAACGATATTGCAGTAGTAAAAATAAGGATAAATTAAGGAATAGTACAGCATACGTAAAGACGATTTAGGAAGAAAGAAGCTGTATCTAGATATTATACCGATTGACTTTGCAACTTTACTTGCAACATGTGATATTTCCGACTTCCAATTTAGGTTTTCATCCAAAATCACGCCTAGAAAATTTGTCTCCTTTACTTCAACAATATTTTGATTATCTATACTTTTTGAACATTACAAATTGAACGCTTTTGTCTTGGTTTAAAGACCATAAATTTAGTCTTTTTAAGACTTAGAGAAAGCTTGTTTGCTTTAAACCAGGTTGACAGTTTGTCCATCTCCAAGTTTAACATATCTGAGAGATATTTCGTAATGGTAATTGAACTGAGTGGAGTGCAATTTGGTCTGAAATCATACGCGCGATTTCAAAATCGAACGAGCGCGCAGCGCGAGTTCGATTTGAAATCACAAGTATGATTTGAGACCAAAATTGCACGACACAAAGTTCAATTACCACTCTATTACTTCCATTTTGAAATCGCAGAATTTAGTCAGTACTAAAATTTTACTGATCAAGTAGCCCGTTTGTTAAAAAGCCGAAACAAAAAGGCTTTTACATCTCATTTTGTATTCCAAACAGAAATGATGCAATATAGAACAAAAATGGTCCTATTTAAAACAGAAATGATGCGATTTAGAACATGAATGACCCGATTTAAAACAGATGCAATTTAGGGCAAAAAATGGGGCGATTTAGGAATAAATCACACCGCTGAGAGCCAATCAGATTGCACGGATAGAAGTGATTAAAAAGTGGAAGTAATAAAGATCTTTATGCGACATGAATACATTGGTATCGTCAGCGAACAAAATCAGATTTAATAGATTAGAAGCATTGTTGATGTCGTTAATGTACAGTAAGAAAAATAGAGGTCTGAGGATAGAACCCTGAGGGACCCCACAAGAGGTTTCATTTCTTAACGAACGGTGGCCATTATATTCAACATATTGCTTTCTGTTTGAAAAGTAACTTCTTATCCAGTCCAGCACTAAGCCATGAATACCGTAATGTTCGAGTTTATCAAAAAGGATGATATGATTTACAGTGTCAAAGGCTTTTGAGAGGTCAAGAAAAATACCTACGGAAAATTCGCCTCGGTCATTAAGGCCGTGGAGATCTTATCATGCAAGTCAATTAGCGCGAGTGCAGTGGAATGATTTTTCCTGAAGCCGTATTGGTTACCACAGAGGATGTTGAAATTCATCAGATATGGCATTAAACGATTGTAGATAACTCTTTCAAAGAATTTTGAAAAGCTGGAAAGCACCGAGATAGGTCGGTAGTTGGTGAAAAGTGACTGATCATCAGATTTAAAAATAGGTATCACGCAAGCGATTTTCATTTCATCGGGAACAATACCATGCTGGATTGACAAGTTTATGACATGGGTGAGTGGTTCAGAAACAAGTAGAATGGACTCCTTAATGAATGTCATCGGAATCTGGTCGTAGCCAGCTGCTTTGCCTGGAAGAAATGTTTTCGCAATCTCAGCGATCTCATCTTGAGTTGTAGGGTTGAAGAATATTGACTGTGTAAAGGAACCATTAAGAAAACTACAGTGTGAAGCTGACGACTGTATACCCCTTGCTAAATTAGGACCAATGCTTGAAAAATAACTACAAAACTTGTTGGCAATTTCGACAGGGTCAGTAATTTCACGATCATCAGCTTTAAATGTTGAGCATCTGTTGGAATTTCTGTTGCTTGTATCTTTCAAATTTGGGCAGCACTAGCTGGTTATGAAGAATTAGCCAAGGTATTAAAGCCACTCAGAACTGGTGGAATAATAATATTTAAATGAATAATATTGTAACAATTGAATATGTCTTTACCTCTGGTAAAATACTGATGGGGTAATTACCGCCTCCAGTTTTGAATTCATGGCGCCGCGATTCAGTAACACTTATAACACTGTCATAGATGTAATATGAGCTTTGTCTGCAAATAAGACAGTCAAGAAAAGAATGTTATAACGGAATCCAACCGTACATTGAGTAATTTTAATTTGCAGCGGACAAAAATTTTGTACCGGCCAGAATAGTTTAAAGTATATTGCATTCTTTCTTACATTTTTCAAGGGCTTAAGATGACATAAATAATCTTTATTATATAAACACCAATGAAATACCAGGTGAGCTTTCGCATGAAAACTTGATATCTTCACATGTGAAAATAACATGTTATCTTCACATGTGAAAATATCACCGTTGCTGTGGCTACATAATAAATCGCACATTTCACACCAAAAAACTATTAAAGTGAAATGGTTTGGTATTTCATTGGTGTTTATTATAATAAGTAGAACATTATATGGCCACTTGGAGATACGAAGTTTCTCTTTTCATGTTGAAAAAATATTTCACTTGCTCGCTGTGCTTACTCGAAGAGAAATTTCGTATCGCACATGAAATTTTCTGAATTTCACCTATGTAATCAAAATTCTCGTGAAATTTGACATTCATTTTCCAGACTTCCATGAGAAATTTTCTTTGGTGTTACTTACAGATGATTTATTACATTTTAAGCCCTTGAAAAATGTAAAAAAGATTGCAATATTCTTTAAATATTATTCTGGTACAAGGTTTTTGTCCACTGAAAATTAAGATTACTCAATTTTCTGGTGGATTCCGTCTTAAACTTTAAACAAGAAATTCTGTGCATAGTGTTCTTCAGACATTTGAGCATGATAAATGTATAGTTACATATGACCTGGGCTACATGCAAAGGTGATCGGTTAATATCAGTATTAAGGTATAAGATCTGCTATAAACCATTCCATTTGAAAATTTATTTCTAAAATATAATAAAGTCAACTTTGCAAATCAAAAATTACACAGGTCTATCAAGCAAGAGCTGAGCTTTCAGAAAATTGATACTTGAGGTGTCAATTTTCACTCCTAAGGTGTGATTTCTGATTTATACCGCAGGCTCAAAAATTCAATAATTCCATATTTCTGGCTTTCTCTCGATAGCTAGGAATAAAAAAACATTGGAGGCTGACCTATACTTAGATTGTTCATTTACCTTTAAATTCCCGGCAGTTAGCCAGTAAATGTTTCCTGAGATATGGAGGTGGAATTTTTTTGTAATGCCCTGGGACTCCAGGCCGCCAAAAAAATTCCAAAATATTCTGAGAATTGCCAGGAATTTAATACATTTTTTCTTATAAACATTATGTGAATAAACCTAGCAAGTTTCTGCGCGGTATTGTCAATCCTCATCTTTTTACCTCAATTTGTTTTCAGTGCGGTCCAATGCAGCCGCAAAAAATGCCCTTAATTCGAAATTAATTTTTGTTGTGCTGCTCTGTTTTCTTGGTCGCCATCTTGAATTCTGGAAAGAGGCGAGAATATGCAAAAATCTTTGTTTGCACTCATTACATGATGTACTCTCAATATGGCTTCATAAACAATGTTTTAGCCTTAGCAATGTGCTAATTTGCATAATAGGTCATTTAACTGTGGCCTTATCTGTCATTGACCTTGCAAGGATCATATATCTAAGGTGTCTCTAGAAGGCTTTTGCAGCCATAGAATTAGAAATATCAAAATAAACGTACATTATTCGGGGAAGCAGAATGTAAGCTAATTTTGCTATAATTTGCCCTGACTTACTTGAAATTCATAATGCATTACTGTGTGTTGGGTTGTAAAAATTGCAACATTTCTGTCAACAACGGAAAGTATTGTGTCGGACTTCAGCCCTGTGATTATTAACATTTCCAAAATAGCACTCTTAGATACCAGCTTTGGCCTTCGGTTTTCTTGGCCTTTATTTATCGAAAATGCTTCATTTTTGGAATTTGAGTTCAGGTTGAGAGCTACATTTTAAATAAGCAATTTTATAAGTATGATCATTTTTTGACCTTACAGCAGTTCTAAAACCTTAATAATAATTAATGTCAAAGGTTTGAACTCAAGAGTCATTTCATTAGGTTGGTCGAGTATGATCGTCCGGTCACAATCGCATTTCTGAGCACCATTTACAGAGACTCTGCAAAATGTATTATGTACTCTACAGACTACTATCAACAGCTTACTTTGGAAACCTGGTTCACTAACTTTGAAAAAAACACCACCGACTGAATGGTAGTTAACAGTTACCAGCACCGTACAAATGACTAATAATTGATGGAATCATGCAAAACTAACTCCAAGAGAACGACTTGACAGTTGACAATTTGACCAACATTAAACGACTGTCAAACTATGACAATAGACGGATCGAAACATGCGAGTCTTCATAGCCAAACAAAAACATCACAACACGGCTTAACTGACAGACAACCAATAACATCATGACTTGATTGACCAATCAGGTCAAAAACCAGAGTTAAATACCATCAACTGACAAAATACAACTCACTTTGACTTTGAAGATCGACTACCGCACAGGTTGTCGAAACGTCATGTCAGTCAATGTCAACAACAACAGTCCTATTCAGGATCTTTTTCACTGGACGATCATACTCAACCTACAAGTGAAATAATTAGCATTAATGAATGAGGCTGAATAGGATATGAAGAAATATGCAGATCGAGGAGGGTCTTATCCACCGAGGCCGAAGGTCTGCATAATTCTTTATCAACCTCATTCCCAGGGTTCTCTCCTACCCACCCCCTCACTCCGTAGGGCGGGTAGGAGAGAACCCTGGGAACAAGGTCGATTCTTTATATCCTAGGAAAGCCAATTTCATTAATTACTTTATAATTCATTCAAAATAATTCCTAGTTTAAAAACAAGCTAAAACATGCTTACGTTCACCTTGATAGTGCATGTTTAGAAGATAAAGAGCTGTTCAGGTCTGCAAATATACTCCAAATACCAGACGTTGTCTTCAAGCTGACATTATAGTTCATTGTGAAACAAGTAAAATGTTCAGCTGACTGTTCGGCCCTTTCCTTTTCACGACCAAAACAATTCAACTCCTCCCCAGCTCTTCTCTGTTAACGGTGCATTAACCTGCAACTGTGCTGCACTTTTGACGTCATTGGTTTATTAATCGCAAAATTTTTCCAGATTTGGTCAGTAGTAGGTGGTTATGGTGAATTATGCGTGTGCTTTTAGCCCATCAGAAATGGAGAAATATTTTGAATGAATAAATATAATAATTATTAATATTATTATTATTATAAATAATTTTATTATTACTTCCTTGCACTTGTCATGTGCTATGTTCTAACATGCCAATTATTCCCCATTATTTTTCACACAAGGAAAGAGAAGAAAGGACAGTATATAGTCAGTCTTCAATGATAAATCTCAGTATAAACATTTTGTGTTCCCTTGTTGCATGTTTCTCTGTATGTGGGAGTCGAAGCATGTATGCATAATAAATGTATGGGGTTGAGTGCAGATCTTTTACAAAAGAGTGATTCTTATAATATTGTAGTGTGTGGGGGGAGGGGGAAAGGTAAACTTCTCAAATCTACCATTAATTTACTTTGACATACCGCCACTCAAGTGATGACTTCTTCACACTAAAAGGTTCCAAAGGAGTCATCAAATACCGTCCTGAACGTAAAGGTCCTGCAGGCGTTGTGAATAACGATGAATTAACCTCCTGCCTGTAGGTTCTGCTAGTAAGGGCTTTAACTGCTACAGCTATCTTGTCACGTAATCCTTGGCCTACTTTTTTCACAAGTGACATAACCCTGGACTTTTTACTTGGCTGCACAAGCAAAGCATCTTCTCTGTTGTCCTCCTTTCGTTTCCTCTTGTTCAAAAAATTCATCTGATCATTTTTGAGAAAAAAAATCAATGAAACATCCTGTGTTTGAAAATGTCATCATTCTAACTTTTATGGCACAAAAAAGTATGATCAAAGCAAGAGGTTCTGGTTATGGTAAGGAGGAAATCTATAATAATCTCATCGGATTCACTTGTACAGCAGTTACAATCTTTACTTATAAGAAAAGATACCTTGTCTGTATTGCTGAATAGCTAGGGTCGATATGAGTATCAGTGATTTAGTTTTCATATCAACAATCACAGTACTTACTTTCAACTGCCATTACAATGACATCTACAAGCAGTTCTAAAATGGCAACAAAACACTTTCTTTCTGCTTTGTGATGGATTTAATGTTAAAAAAAGTATATAAAGTTAATGTTACCATTGTTTAAAATACATTTTCCAAAAATCATATATGCAAAAGACATCCACTTTACAGTATTGGCAAAAACAAATCCCCTCTCCCTCCCCCTAACAATGTTGTTCGTAGTTGATTGTGGTGAAATGTAATAATATTGGAAAGAATATTTTAGAACTAACATTTGACACAATGCACATAATCAAACAGTGGAGACGTGTGTGGCTGAGCAGTTAAAACCTCAAACTCTGGATCTGGAGGTCTGGGGTTCAAGCCCCGCCCGTCACGTTGCTTCCGTAGACAAGGAACTTTACTCCACTGTCTTTGTCTCTCTTCACCCAGGTGTATGAATGGGTACCGGTGACATACTGCTGAGGGGTAACCCTGGGATGGACTAGCATCCCGTTCAGGGGGGAGTAGTGATACTCCTAGGCTTGCTTCATGCTAAGGAAAATGGTGTAAGCTCCAGCTCTGTGGACCTTTGGCTCATGTATGCCTTTAACTTTACCTCACATAATCAAACAAGGTACTCTACAACCTGTACTCTATAACTCTGAAACCAAGGAGGACAGGAGGGGATACTATGGCAAGATATTGATCAACTTTGCACAAAAATGTCTTTAAAGGGATGTGTAACTTGATAACAATGACATGAGGATTTGGGATTGACTGACTTTGCTTCCACTGAGGTATTGCATAGCACACCTGACATCAGAAATCAGCAAGCAGGTTTCACGGTTTGGCGAAAAAAAGACATTGCTTTGTTATGCAAGACACTATAGGGTCACAAAGGAAAATGCCAGGAACATTGACAGTTTTTGCATACATGATTTCAGCTAAACAAAGAGGAAATCGTTGGAAAAATGTTTAACAGTAGTTTTCTTACCCCTCAAAAAAGCTACAGATTTGGTTAGTTTAGGGAGCTTAATTTCATTCCCGGGGGGTACTGCCATATATGGGCTACATAGGTATGCGCCACTGTGAAAGGTATGGTTCTCAAGCAGTACTCTGGAATAGGGTATATAGATCAGGGAGTTTGGGTCTAGAACAGGGTATCATGTTTCAGAGAACTAATTGAAGATTTTAGTCTAGATTAGGGAAACCAGGAATTGCCACTTATTATAAAAAAATCAAGCAAGTCTAAATTTATGCAACTCAGCCTAAAAGCTACTCTAGGATAGAGAGGATTTGGAGAGTTTAATCTAGTTGCCCCCGCAGGGAGGCACACTAGTAGCTCACATGCGATCACACATATGTTAAAGAAAGTACTTGCAGTTGAAATGTACAGTCAGTGTGACAGAAAAAATCTTGAAATGGAATCGTGGAATCATTGGGTAATGATGACTATCTATTGTTTGCGCCGACAAGTAAGAGATGGTTAGGATGACGTAAAACACAAAATCCCGAAGGAACCGCTTAGGTAGATTTTGTGACATTTATTGTACAGTCACACTTCAATACTCTTTTGCAGTATGTGCTATCAGTGACACTCTGTAGAGCAGCCGTTTTGAAAGTTATGCACGAAGATACACTCATTGGCCCAGATGAAGTTTTAAGGTGCGTGTAACTCTGTATATATAAACACTTGGAGAGTTTGCCAGACACATTTCACAAATCTTTGATTGGAAAAAGGTTTTTAGACACTCTTTCTCTCTCTTTGGGGGAATAAGACTCAGTCCACAACCAAGCAAGACACGTGAATCAACAGCTAGCTTATCACTAGAGAACGATGGATGATAACAAGAATTTGCCGACAATTACTCACAAATGTTTTTCTATTAAGTTTAAAAAAGACTAGAACGCATGTGATGAGGGTGAATTGATCAAATCTTTGAATTTCTAAGGCTTTCTTTCCAGCAAATAAAATGAACTGTATGTAAAAAGTGAAAAAGAAATAGCAAAAAATTCCAACTTCTAACAAAATCTTTATATATGGTTTAGAATAAACTATTCTCGAAACTGAGAATGCTTTGGATCAAAGCTGTGTAAATTGAACTGAATCAGTGCATGGAACTTTTCGTTTCCTGTTTTTATCTCACCCATTGTATATGGAAAATGTGCGAAAATCTTCATTATGAATAGGTATATTTCAAAGAGCTAAACAACGACCAAGAACACCATTGACCGACAATATACAGAACAGGGGCAGCTGTACTGTCAACTATTACTCGTATAGGGTAGCAATACTAGCTGAACAAGCTCTGGTATAGGCTATGGGTTCCAGGGTCCCAGCAGCACATCCCCACCCAAAAATTCCTAGAGTATCCCCTGCCCTCCACCCCTGGTTCTCATTACAGGCAACTTTATTGTATCTATTTTAATTTACCATAACACTTAAGGCCTGTTTACAAGGACAGAGGGTTCCCTTGTGCTAGGGTTACCCTAGCAAGTGGGTTAAAGTTAGCTGTGGTTTACAAGCAAATTTCACAGGCTGGGTTACCCTATGACCTGGGTCAACTTTACCAGCTTTGCTGATGTGTTTCGCCATGTGTGACATTCTTTGTAATGGTCCACTCCAAAATTTGAAATAATCTTGAAGTTCTCTATGGAAAACGAGTTTAATTCACGAAAAAAAGGGAAAATGTTATCATTGTAGACAGAAAATAACTTTATTTTTCAGATGTTCATAATTAAGCTCAGAAATTGGATAACACCATTCAAATTGGTACAATTATTATTAGTGGTCACGCATGAGGGCAGAAAGTTGACCCGGTTAGGCAAATTATCCCTAGCTGAGCGTTTACTAGGCAGGTGGGGTAACCCTCTTGCAAGGGTAACCCTACACTGTACAACTCAGGTAGGGTTACCCTAGCGCTAGGGTAACCCTACCTGCCTTGTAAACTCGTCGTTTAACAAAAAAGAAGAAATGTGTGAGTGCTAGGGTAACCCTCTTGCTAGGGTAACCTTGGCACTAGTGTTACCCTCCCTCCTTGTAAACAAGGCCTTACAGTAACAAGTCATAACTCTGCTACGCATCTAAATTAATAAATTACACTGCGGCCAGGGATTTTGCACACATTGGAAAATTAGCCAGATATTTTGGTGTCAGTTTTGCACAGCACCCTTCAAATGTTTGCTTTGATTGCCATGATGATTCCGAAATATCGATCACCGTTCCTAAGTCTTACGATCATCTAATTTAGATCCCTCGCCTAAACCTTTATGGCCGGTTAAGCCTTTGTGCTGACAAATTTGGACTCGAAGAAGCGGGCAAATAAAACGATCATTGACCTCTTGCAATGTAAACGAAATTACGGATTAAAAATGGACGGAAAGAATGCAAGAATTCGCAAAACAAAAAGCGGTAGATGCCTGTCATCTGCTTTTTGAGGAATGCCTGCGAGGAAAAAAATCCTGCCAGTCTGTAACTGAACCAAAAACAGTCAAATGTTTTGATGAACTCTGCGAGGAGGCAATGATGTTTTGAATTTACAAACAATATAAACGTGTTGCTCGTTTATCTAAACGCAGTTATTAAAAAGGTCATGAGCATTTGCCTTACTTTTGCTTGAACCTCAACTTCTTGCTGTATGAACAAGGACCTTTCCTTCCATGATACGCCAATCCATCCTCGCCGCTCGCCGACAACGCCGCCTAGTCACCAGTCCTTCAGTCTTATCAGTCTTGTCGTTTCGCGTGACCGCCCCAAAAATTTCTGGTTAGTTCAGACACTTTCACTTTCGTTTCGATTCCTTTGCTGTCACTGTAAACGTCGAATAAACGAGTCAGAAATGCAAGCCTCATAGCTTTTTGCTATTCCTCAAGAAGACTTCAAAAGAAACAACTCCATCAAAAGGTAAAGTAATTATTGTTCGAACGAAAAAAGGTTCAAAGTGAAGCAAGATATAAACTTAATTAATTGCTCGTGTCTACATACCCGGCAGCCGGGAACTGTTTTCAAAAAACTAGATACCCGGCAGTCAGAAATTTTGACCAATTTTCTCGAAATGGCTCGTTTAATTCCTCTAAGAACATAAGATATTTGTTTAGAAATGTCAAGCGATTATAAATATTGCCTTGGGTTAAAAGTAGAAGCGACTGTCGAGCTTGGGCATAGAGTGAAATCTCAATATTTTCGACACTTAGAAAATATTCAAGTTCTGACACACTAAGTCAACTCCAGATAAATATCCACAGAAATTATCAACGAAACCTCACCAGAATATTTAGTGTTTGTTCAGAAATGCCAAGTGATTCTAAATAAAGGTTTTCGTATTGTTGTGGACAAATTCTCCGCGCTTGCATCAAGCATATTCTTTAGAATCTTGACTCACGGGTACGGTTTTCAAAATACTAGATGCCCGGCAGTCGGAAATTCTCAGTGTACTTTCACGAAAATCTTTCTCGGCATCTGCTGAGTCTACTCGATTTTGATGTAAAATTATAAAGAGTCTGTAGTCTTAACAGATATCCTCCAGAGACGTTCCTCTGACTTATAAACAACGTGAAATTTGTCGACTCGGCAGAAGAGTGCCTTTCAACTTCCGGTGTAACACTACAATTGCGTGACGCAAATGCTAGGGACTTGACGATCCGGTGGCATAAGGAGAACGGCAAAAATAGGTTAAGAAGGCTCGACGGTTGCCTCTACTTCAAGCCCAAAGCAGTATTTGAAATCGCTTGAGTCTTTTAAACAAATTTCT